ATTACTATTTTTGTTTTACCATGACATGTATTTTATATTTCTTTATTAAATAAGTTGCAGCTTCTTACAGTTGCTGATCATTGTTGGTTCTTATTTTAGCACAAATAAAAGATCTCTGCCTTTGAAAGACACAAAGCACAGCACTAATAAAATACCAAGCACACACAGTACAATAGCAAGCTCATGAAAAGGCATGATTATATAAAATAATGTGTAGTAGCTTTAGGAAGAAGTAAATGACTATGCCTAAGTTTTAAATGACAAATCAAGACCGTGAATTTTCATTGAAAGACTGAAGCAGTATGGGCTGAGGCCGATTGCAAAGGCAGCACAAAGGAAAAAAACCTCTCTATTAGCCAGATGCCAGAGAGAATTGACACGCATGTTGGCTGGTTGAGGCAAAACCAAGCATAGATTAGGAGAAGGACTATAGGCAGAGATCTGATCACACAATCACAACAGCAATTATGTGGCAGCTTTTAATACCAGATGAAAATCTTAGTACTCACAGAAGGAAGGGCAACCTGCTCAGGTGCATAAGGAGAATGTAATGGCAGATACTGATCCAGCTCTGTCCTTGAGGTGAGTCTAATTGGAGTTGGTTGGGCTCTTCCTCTGGTTAACATCACATAAGCTTCAATACCCTATTGAAAAAAGATCCTGGGCACCAAGAAATGAGCAAGAGTTAGGGAAAGCAGACCTTTCTGTAATGGAGGCTTGTGGCCAACTGTGAATTATTAGCAAGTTACAGAGAATGTCAGGGACTTTGGGAGAAGCAGATGTAAAGTAGGCATCAGACCCAAGACCTTCATGACCCTGGCTGTCCGAATCATTAGGAGTCAGTCCCTTACTACAGGTTAAAAGGATTAAAAAGGTAGAAGCAGCAGTAATGTTAAAGGAAATAGTTCAGTACGCAGCGGGGAAGCTAATTCTCTCCTTCTCAGTCTCAACTGAGATCAAAAATAATTAAATAAAGGGAAGAAATTTGAGGTGATATATCTTCTGTCAGGACTGCAGAGAGTTGGGATGACATGGTGAAATAGATCAGAAGAAGCAGAGATTTTCAGAGCAGCACAGACAATTTAGAAATGTAATATATATTTATTTAAATTGTATCTGTATGGTAGCCTTCACTTTCCTGCTTTGAAAAGCTCAGTCTCTAGTTTTAAAGAAATTTGGCAACCATAGGCCCCTCTACACCCCAACACAAGAATATCATGGGATCCTGGACAAATTCAAATAAAGCCTACTGTTTCTCAGTCTAATGCTGTGAATGTCAATTGGACTTCTGCTGATAGCATTGGCTTTTATAGCATTAACTGTCCTGATTTTTAGTTTTGCATCAAGTATCGACCAGTCAGAATTACAGTCAACAAAGGAAATGCTGCCTTTTCATTTCTACACTATATTTTACCAGTTTAGCTTTGGCTGTATGTTTTAAAGTGATGGGGGTTTAGGTTTGCTGGTAGCCCAGATCTGAACCACTGTCGCATTGCTCGTGGTTGAATTAATGATGTGAATGTCTAAGAAGCCATCAGATTCATAAATCACCAGAAATGAGAGGGATAACTCATAAAAGTCTTTTCCTTTTGTTTAGCAATTTATCATTTTGCTTGCACATTAATAAACAGAGCTCCCCTGAGGTAAGCCATAGGAAGATAGATTTTTCTTCCTAATTTTCCTCAATCATAGCCAGTAGATCACAAGTGGAGAGAGTGGGCTTGTCACAGCATGTTGGTGTCTTGTGACTCCCTCTACCCATCACTGATAAAAAATAAATGCGATTAAGTACCCTGGTGGATAATTATTTGTGTTTACATAACAGGCGCCAGGTTTCCGAGTCCGAGATTGTCAGCTAGACCAAGCCGAAAGCGTACGTTGTCCATATCCCCCCTATCTGATCACAGCTTTGACCTTCAGACCATGATACGGACATCTCCAAATTCCTTGGTCACAATTCTCAATAATTCTCGTAGCAGTTCCTCAGCCAGTGGTTCATATGGTCACTTATCCGCAAGTGCAATAAGGTAAGAATAGTATTTTCTACCTATATTGTATATTCTTATTTTCTGTGTCATACACACACATGCAAATGTGAATGTATACTCACATCTTTAAGTAACTGTTTTGTTTTGTGAATGTGTATTTTGCAGTTTCTATAATGTATGTTCACTGGAGCTTAATTTGAAGTACAAAATACTTTTTTTCTTGCTTAGAAAGGTAACCACAAGGGACTTTCTGGCATATTATTGTCCAGTGCAGATAGCACTCCATCTCACCAGCAGTAACAGCGCGTGTATGCGTGCTCAGGAATTGTTTTCAGAGAAGCAGCTCTAGGACAGGTTTGTGACTTAAGTCACTTGGGTTCTTCTGGCCATAGATACAGCGGTCAGTGAAACGCTCCTACATTACAATCAGCAAAGAGTAAAGCACAGATGCATGGTACTGTTCAATTAAAATGTTTGGCTAGAACTTCTTGGCATTCATCTCCCAAGTTTTTTTTATATTTTAGTTCGTATCTTGGATAATTGGACTTTCTCTGGCTAAATTATCTTTTTTTTTCTATCAAGGAAGTACTGTTATCATCCAGTATCATCAGAAATGCTGTGATTTTCACTTGGCTGCTTCACTTGTGGCTGCTTCACTTGCATTTGCAAGAAAATGGTTGTTCTGGAGGCAGAAGAGCAGAGTAGCAAGAGAAGAGGTGGGCAGAAATTGTACAGGAAAGGGAAAAAAACAGGGCACAGGGAGATGAAACAAAAGCAAGAATGTGAAAAAAAGGGAGTGGAAAAAAATGAGAAGCAGCAGAGAAAATGGAGATGTAACTGCAGAACATTCTTGTATTTGTGACATTGCTATATGTTAAGTGAGAAAAGCTCCTTTGGTATTCTGAAAAAATTCCCCCACCTCTCCAAAGCCTCAGAAAATACTGGGTTTGCATTTATAGCATTCAAAGAAAGAGTGCTGCTGGTCCCTGGCTTAAAAGCAGCCTCCACCTTCAATTTGCAATGAGGCAAAGGAGCAAGTCCCCACAGCAATTTCTTGAGATCTGAAAGACCCATTTTTGGCAAGGCTCAAACATGCCTCTCCAGCAAAAATGACACACTTCCAACTTCAAAAACTGGCTATGGGGATTTGCACTTTTGGAGAAAATGGGGCATGCAACTGGTGTGTTAGAAACCATGAGCCTGCCAAACCTTGAAAGTGACAGCGCTGTAAATATTTGGTATTAGCATAAGTGCTGTTTGGTTTTTTTAAGCACTTCTTTTCAATAGCTTTTCATAGCTCTGATGTACTTGAATAGCTGCATAGTATTTCACAGGTGTGATATCATAGCTCTGCAATACAACTCTGCAATCTGTGTAACCAAGGTCCCAATTACAAAGCTCCATAATGTGGAATATGATTTATGTCTATAGCTGGCAGCGGTTTTGGACCACATCTGTTAAATACATGTACTATGTGGAGGTGTACTGTCCCCACTGTCATTAAGATGGGCTGGCACTTCAATTTCTAACCTCCTTTTCCATTGCTTGTAACTTTGGTAAAGCAAATAGTGCATGAAAGTTGGCACAGTCTCCACAGTGGAGTAAGTCTTCTCTCCTTTTACTCTTCCTCCACAGCTGGAAATGGTTGGTATATGCTTTTGACACATAGACTCACAAACCTAAGGGCCATCCATGCAAAGCTGAAGTCAGATGAATAATTTTGTTGAAGACAGTTGTGGAACTGGAGTGAGTTATGAGCAGAGACTGAGTAAGGATGCTAAGGAGTAGAACAGTGAGTCTTGTGAACTGGTGTCACTGAAGAAAGCAGGGCTTGTGTGACTGAGCCTATGGCTGACTGAAGCTTTCAGCACTTCCTGCACATACTTTCCAGGCATGCATAATCCAAAATTTCACACCATTTTGAATTAACTTTTTTTTTCTTTTTGTAGGAAACATACCTCTCCATTCTTCCCAGTGGGAAGGAGGGAAAGGGAGAGAGCTAGCTCTTTTTCCAGCTTTGCAACTCACCTCTGTTGATGCCATTTAACTTCTCCCATGTGCACCTGTCTGTAAAAGAGTTACACCAAAATAAATAGTGACGTAAGGTATTAAACCCAAGACACATTTCATTGCTGTAATAAATTCCAAGACTAAATAGCAACAAGACTATCAGTAAAACTTAATTTATTGCAACTCACTGTCTTGTAAATAATGCATTCAGCACTGCTGTACTGAATCAAACTGTAGGTTCATCCCATTTAATAAGCTGTCTGCAACAGTCATCAAAGTGTAGAAAAAACTTTTTCTAGTGTAAAATCCCAGCTTCTGGAAACTTGCAGATAAATCTCATAGGAGTTGGTGCAAGAAAATGGCACAGTGCAGCAGGCCATTAGATGCAATTGTGAGACAGGAAGGATTTGTATTTTAGGCAACATCAGCAGCATTAACTGTACTTAACATTACACAATCCTGCTACTTTTAGATCTTGTTGCCTATCACTTTTAACTTAGCCCAAATAGTTTACACTTGGCAGCATTTTTCATGGCAGATACCTGTCTAATGCTGAGTATTTCCAAAAAGTGGCAGCATAGTTACTAGTTTTTCAGAATGAAGTTAGGGAAGAAGCGACTTTTCTGTAAAACTAAAAGACTTCTTGCTGCCTAGTCACTGAGAAGCTACAGTTTGCCAGGGATGTTGCCTAGAAGGTACAGATGTGATCTTTGCTGTTCTTGAGAAATTGTCCCATTCAGCCAAGTGATAAGGCCTTAAGAGGTTTCTATTAGCATTGTGTTAAATAGACTAAGCATTCAGCATGTTCCAGTCCAGGGCCCACAGAGAGGACATTTCCCTGCAGCTGCAGCTCTGGTTAATCTGGTACCTCCTTGGGAAGCCTGTGGAGGCTAAGCTGTCTGTCCAGCCGTAACAGCCTTCCCTGAATGTGAAAAAGAAAGTGGTCTTCAGAAGAGACAGGAGTCAAGACCAGCAACTGTCCAGGTTAAACAAGCTGGGATAAAATTCTTTTATGTAGCGCAACATAGGATTTCACTAGAAGAGAGGAAAAGCTGCAACATAAAGCATGCAGAAGCCAGTCATTAAGGTGAATGAAGGTACTGCCCCCTTGTGATTGTGTTTTCATGCCATCTTTAATTTCAGGGTTGCACAGTATTTTTTCGCAGGGCCCTGCTTCAGTGCACAAGCTGAACACCTCTCCTGGGTCAGTCAGAGATGCAGGGACCCTGCCTCACCTCTCCCAGGCAGCCTCTTACCAGGTTGTTTGCTGCCTGGAGGGCAGACCCTGCTCTTGCAATGCAATACCAGCCTGATGCTGGGCAAACTGAACTAGTCAGAAGTGACCACCAGGCTCATACAGTTTCTCTTCCAGAGTCCCAGCCTACCACTCTTAATTCTGCAGAGGAGCCAAATTGCTCACAGCCATGGCTTGAAGCTACTGACAGCTGTTTCATGTGCTGTGTCATGTTTACTAACCCAGGAGATCTGGTCTCCATGTCTGAAATTGGGCAACCGCGATGAGTGACACTTTTTACCTTCATCTTTTCTTAGATTCGCGTTCCTGTGCAAAGTGAGTCCTTCCCCTTCACCTCAGAGGGAGGTTGAAAGCATTAATGTTTTGTGGAGCACTTAGATTATACCATGATGAGCACAGTAGAGAAGCTCAGGAGGGTATCATCATTATGTATTCACTGATGGTTTAACTACAATGGAAGGGAGGCCTATGGGCAATACTCTGAGCAAGGAGAAGAAAAAATACCAGAGGGTGTCTCACTGAAGACTATTGTGCATCTTCCGCACCAAATGAGTTGCAAATCCTGCAAGGGGTAAAAGGGATGTGTGGTCACATATCTAAAAGCTGATGTGTCAGCACACAAAAGTATGGGCAGGTTTAGTTCTGGTATGTTTGATTTTGCAGGCTCAATGCTCTTTTAACCTGGTTTTGCAAAGATGCTACTTGTGTTAAGAAAGTGTCTCCAGGACCTCACTGGTCTTCGCATTGGCTAAAAAATGTATGTCCTCTGGCTAAAAGATTACCTGCTGTGCTTCACACAGCTTTTCACCGTAGGACCCTCTATGTGAGTCCTGTGGGATGTTGAGGATGAAATCAAATGAAAGGAGCCATGTTTTGGGCTCTGTTTTTCACAGCTGAGCACAGAAGGGCTCTGGTCCTTGACGTGGGTACTACTGCAGTTTGAATAATAAATAATAATAGTTTAGCACAATCCAGAAAGGGCTTGACTTGGCGGGCGCTTTGTCATTGTCAGCTGGCAGTGTAATGCTGTATCCTGACTACTGGCTGAGTACTTGAAAAGAAGATGTCGCTCCTGCTGACAGCTAATAGTGGATCTCCTTTAGCGCACCAGGTAGAGCTTCTACTTTGTGCATTTGAAAACACCTGGTTTAGGTCTCAGCTGGGAGAGATTATGCAGAAAGGAGGCGTATGAAATAGCATCAAATGAGGATAATCCTTCATTTGACATTTACTCATTTGGTTACCTGCCTCAGTCCTGCAGTGCAGCACCCCTGCTATTAATCTTTTGTCAGGATGTACTTAATGTTATATCTGCTACCTGTGACAATTATTAGACTTTGAACTTCAGTAGCACTTCTTTTTGAGAGGCAGCATGGCCTAGAGTGAGTATAGAGGGGGTAATCACTTCCCATGATATTAAGAGTACTGATTCAAAACCTTTGCAAAAGATTAGCTGGTTTTATAAACACAAGAGGTCGGGACTTCATGTTCTATATGGTGTGAAATTCAGAACCTCTCTATTTTTCTAGTCCCTTAGCAGTACTGAGATATCGAATTTACAGTCAATTTTCAGAAAATGAGCCAAATTCCCTGTCAGTTACAAGGTAATTAAATCAGGATTATTTCCACCTACTACGAGAGGCTTTCTTTGGGTCTAGGCAGATGCAACTGTGAATACACCTTAGCCATCTCATATCATGTTAAAATTCAGTTTCATGTGAGCATGGAAGCCCTTTGGGATCTCCTCCAAGATTTGGAAGAAACTGAGACAGCA